TTTTCTAGAATGATAGACAGAGATGAGATAAAGGTATTGGTATGCAAGAGCTATCACTCAGTTGCTTCATCTACAAATGCAGCGGTATCTGCTTCCCAATTTTCCGTTTTTGATTTCCTAGTATTTTCACAAATTAGTGGTGTTCTCTCTCACATGAATAATAGGAAGTGTCTGAAATTTTTGCAGTTGATCAGATGGAACATTTAGAAGTTGTCCTGCTCCATGAAGTGAGACAGAAACAATATCCAGATGAGCACACAGCCTCACAAGTTTAGCCTAAGACATTATGAAAACCAAAGGGAAACATTCATCATTCCAACCTTGAGCTGAATGAACCACAGTGGGATAACCTCCAATTGATCTTGGGAAAAACAGGGTTTATGTGAGGTTTTCTTGGTGACATCCCAAGTGATTTCTAGATCCCTGAATAAAAGAAAAGGTGGATCTGATGGTTTGCATGATTCCCAATCTCCAGACTGAAATACAGTACTTCATTGAAAGAAAAAAGGAGGAGGAGTTGTTCTGCATCTATTACACAACTTCCCTGTTCCTCAGTACAAATATTTTTCTAGCCTTCAGAATGCAGAGAGGGTTCTGAAAATCGAGCTGGGTTTCTGTGGATCAACAGAGGTGCCATTCCTACATCACAGCTTTGCAGATATGATTAAAGCCTGAAGCACAATGCTGTGCTCCATGGGACACATCTGACCCACACGCTGCCTTTTCAACTCTCCTTCTTCTAAATCATGTACATTATGAGTGAATAGGAAGAAAACGTGTAAACAAGAACAGAAAAGGTCGTTGCAAGTTCATTAATTCTGATCACTTAATAAGCTGTAAATTGAAGTGCATGAATTCCATTCTCTTGAACACCAGGATAAATTTGAAGAATCTCTATTGACTTAATTTACGCTGATATGCATTAGAATAGTTTCTGGCACAGTAAGAATCAAAATAATTATTACAGCCACATTCAGGACCAGAAGGCACCTAGTTCCCATTTAGTAACTAAATGAGGGCCAGACTTACAAAAGTAAAGAATTCATCAATTAAAAAAATTAATCTTCATTATTTTTTAAAGGTGGTGCAAAGGTATGGCCATGGAGCCTGCGAAGTTTAGGGCTGCAGGACTGGCCTGAAGAAGCAGGGTGACACTTTGCACCTACTTGATGAAAACACTGTGCTGTGCAAAAGAGTGACTACTGTCCTCTGTATCTGCTTCTCACAGAAGACAAAGATGAACTGCATACAGGGAGACAGAGCTGTTTGAATAACTTTGTCAGGCCCATATTCAGAGTGGTGCTGATACATTTCAGAGCTCTTTGCTTGCAGGTCCCCTCAGAGGTCACGAGGACTCCAGGAAGATATCTTCCTATGCAAAGACAAACATTGTTTTGGAATTCTTTACTCTGTGGTTTGGATGCTGTCCATAAAATCTTACACTAGCTTTCTTGGAAGATAAAACAATTGGCCACTGCCAGGGACCAAAAGGCATCCCAAACATCTTCACGAATACCTTAAGTTTCTGAAATAAAGACAAAGGCATTGCAGTGGGAGAAACAACCTGAGAAGTCTAAAAAAAAAAATTAGAATAAATCACTGAGGCTGCTCGGTTGCAATGCCACGAAGTTTCCTCTGTCTTCTGCTGCTGCTGGTTTGTCTGCAAGGAAGTCCCAAGAAGGCAGATCTAAAGCGATGCCCTTGAAACATGCGGCTGGGACTGTCTGGGAATGATCCATGACGTGTCTGGCGAGCTCCTCCTGCCGGCTGCTCTCCCGGAGGCCGGGCTCGTGCCGACAGACCCGGATTTCGGTTTGGCTTTTCGGGAAGCTGAAGGGAGGCAAAGCTAATGCCACATGTTCCTTATGGTCATAGCAGTAATGCCTCTCATATCCCTGCTCATGCCCTCTCAGACAGACGGAGGTGCTGCGGTCCATGCCAGGAGCTGGGCAGAGCAGCAGCTGTGGAGGAGCCTGGGGAGCCCCAGGAGCAAAGGGGAGCAGTGCTGGCAGGGAGGACAGCAGGGACAGGACCTCGGTGTAAACGGGCACAGGGGCACAGTGATCAAGCAAGAACAGCAGAGAACTCTGGTGAGAGTGACCACATTTAGCCAAGAGCTCAGCGAGCCCAGGTCTGAGGCCAAGCCAGGAAGTCAAGTCAGGATCAGCAAGGTCCACAGGCAGGCACAGATACCCTGCAGCCTATCCCAGATGAGGACTGAGGACAAGGGCAGCTCTGTGCCATGGCTCAGAGGCCTCAGGAGGCTTCTCCCAGCTCTCTGGCATACATCTCTGATCCCAGATTACACTCCACCATATCATGACAGACCTTGAGCACAGGCAGCCAAACCTGTAGGACGGGGAAAAGAGGTTGTGAAGTCAGCTGGTGCACCCAGGGCACTGTCAACACACTGCCCAGCACAGCCAGTGGAGAACGTAAAAATTATTGGAAGTGCTGACAAAAGAACCTGGGTACAAATATGCCACACAGGTTGAAAGTGTGAAATAATGGCAATCTGTACTTCAGCTGTTTCAGGGTCTGGTCAGGAATGACCTCTGCAGGGCACTATATGTGTGCTTTTGTTTTGCCAGTCTGTTGGGAAATCCTCCTTTCCAAGTCAGAGTAAACTTAAAACTGCCATTGGGATGTAATGACAAAGCCCCTCCAAATTTTTCACCTGTATTTTAAACCAGAAAAAACCCAAATGTACACTAATCCTGGCTTCCCTTAAAAAATAATCCATCCACACCACAAAATGTTCAACTGTGACATTTCAACTACTCAGTTCTTCGGTCAAGCTATGTCCCAAAAGAAGAAAACAGATGAGATACACTGATACCCACTTCCTACCTCCTCCCTGGTGACATCTGCCATAGCCCTGCACTGGCAGGTCTCACAGGTAAGTGTGCCTGCATGGGGAGGTGAAACATCCTGAGGCAACAAAGCCCAAGTGGCAGGTAACAACTGTCTTCAAAAAGGGAGCTTGTTGAATCAAAAGGGAAAGACTAACCCTTTGGAAAAGGGTATCCCTGATTATCCTATTGAATTACAACTGGAGAAATCAAAGACAGACAGACAGGGGAAGGGAAAAAACAGGAGGTGAGCATCCCAGTAGTGTTCCCAGCTGGACTGACATTGATACACTGCTTAGATAAAGGCAGTCTGCCCTGGAAAGGCTGAGTGGATAAAGTAGAGAGCAATGGTCTGCTGAAAAAAAGAACATCTTTTATCAATATTGATTAAAAAAATTCTCCAGATTACGTAAGCTATTTTGGAAAAAAGTCACCTTTCCAAAGAGCAACCTGTACTTTTGCTGAGGTGGCCAGGGATATATTGTGTCTCCTTCCATACAGAGCAGTGAATGTATACAGGACTGCTACTAAATGTGGCTTCTCTGCCAAGCAATTGTATTCCTGTACTTTATGTTTCCAGTGTGAAAACTCTAATGAAACATTTTAAACCAAAGCCGTTTCCTTGGAGCTGCCTCTGACCTTCTTTTCCTTCTCTCTCAGCCAAATCTCCCTGCCAGGATGAATTCAGACCTAATGTCTGCTCCTCCCACCAGGCTTTTGGATATGTGACAATATCCTAGTCACTGGGAGCTGTGCCTGCTGGTGTCCATTGTCTTGTGTCCAGTTTGGGAGAGGGCTTTTAAGGAAAAGACCAGAATTAAATTCATGAAGAGTCCAATGATTTACTGGAATGACCAACCATGTAGCTACTTTCTGCACGCATCTATCAACAACTTGTGAGTCCTTAGTAATTAACTCACAGGGCTCCAGCATAGGAATGGTTCAAGGCTCAAGAAGAGCCTTTTGAAAGTTTAAAAAACAAAACAAATAGACAAAACCAAACTTGAAATAATGGTCCAATCTAAAAATACTAAAAGGCTGTGCATCAGCTAAAGGGGGACTGCCTACCAACCTGTTACATTCCCTAACGGAGTCCCAACAGGCACAAAAAGGGGTTACACACTGCCCAGACAGGGCTGCTGGCTGGGCTCTGTGGAATGCATCTGTCCCAGCAGTTTGGTGATGGGCATAGCACAGACGTGCAGCCTGATCACAGCCACTGCTGAGCACAGCCAAGGCACTCCATCATGACACTGAGGTCCCAGAGCAGCGACAGGAGATAACACAGGTGAAAGAAAGGAGCTGCTCGTAATGGAAATGCCAGCTGCATTGCCCAGGTAAAACAGGAGGCTCTGTGGGACAGGGGATACAGACCAACAGCCACAGTGTGGCCAAGGCAAGGCCCTGGGTAATCCAACAATGGTGCTCATGGTATGATGGGGCACTACCAGAAGGAAAGCAAGTTACAGGCCTTATTTGCAATCAGCCACAATCTGTGGAAACACTATATGTATCATGTGTGCCTCACTTTTTATGATGTCATCTATACTGCCTGCCCTATATATTTTAGGTACATGAACAAATACATACCTTGGGAGAAAGTAAAACTTCTTTCTCTGTTATATGTCCTGTAATCACACTGCAGACGGTGCAAAAAACTTTGCAGATATCTATCCAATTCCCACATTAAATCAGTGAGTTACTTGACAAATGCTTTCATTTAAAGACCAACTACCTGCTAGGAATTCACAACTAGGCTTGAGCCTTTTGTCTTCGAACTCTTAACTTTTCTTCCTCAGCCCCCTGCCCCCCCTTCCATCAGTGTTCTGCAATTTGCCAGCCTCCTTTATGTCTCAGTTATGTCTGCACAATGTGAGGCAGGCAGACCCATGTGCCCACAAACAGAAAAGCTCCTCCAGCTCACAATAACTCAGCAGGCTCCTGCGATTTTCAGAGCCTGCATTACTGTGTGCCCATGTCTGCTGTCAAATTACTGCCTGGACCCGGGCTCCATGGCTAACCTCAGCCTTACCCCAAACATGAAACTGCCTCTGAGCCCTCAGGAACATTCATCTTCTCCTGCAGCTCTTCCTACACAAAGTGGTGTAAACCTGACTGATGCTTCTAGGAAATAAAGAACAAGCTCACCCCTCCGAATATGTGTTATGGTTTGATGGCCTCTTTCTGCAATCTGCTGAGAGTGGCTGTGCTCCATGTCATGCATTTAAAACACATCAAAACAGATTTGAAGGGTGGACAGTTCTCCTGAGGTTTCTAAAGGAAAACAGAGATGAAAGCCATAAAAAACAATCCTGCACACACAGCAGAGGTTGAAAAGTAAAATCTAAACATAAGTTAATTTTCCCTTTAGTGTAAGCTCTGGCAGTCCCAGGACTGTTCTAACTTCTAGATGCTTGTCATGGCTGTGACATCACAGCAGTGAGGGGAAACCCTGAGTACATTTATTACAACCTTAGCTGCCTTTCCTTAAACCCCTCACCCTGCCCAACTCTATCTGAGGCTGTGAAAAGACAATAATAATAAAACGAAGCTGCTCTCAAAGTTCCTACATGGGAAACAGTTATTTTCATGTCCTGCCTCACTGTAGATACCTGTACATAGGAAAGATGGCATGCACAGATCACACAAACCTGTAACTGAGGCAAGTCAGAGATGTTATTGACTGTAATTGCTGTTGTCTGTCTCGACCCTCTCCTCGAGGTGTCTCCACCTCCCATTATAATGTCACAGCTAAGGGAGTTCCCCGGTGGTCTGCAAAGAAGCAAAAGAGCAAGTGGTTAAGAGAGAACTGACATTGTTTACACAACATTAAAATTAATTCTAAATCAACAATTCAGAGAAAGTAACATTATTGCATAAAAGCAGACTAAAAGAGATTTCACTGATAGACGGTGCTAACAGCAACATTTTGTATATATAAAGCATTCTGTACCTAAAATCCTCAAAATGTTTTAGAAAAAAGAATACACTATCTTTCTCCAGTGTTTGGCAGAAAAAGTGAGGCATAGGCATTCACAGGGTATTGTCAAAGTAACTGACAGTTTACCACCAGAAGGAAGAACAGAATCCAGGCTTTTCAATCCCTTACTCAGTTATGTGCATTATTTTAAAGCAGCCCTTGGATTTACTCATTTTAGTGTAGATTAGGTAGAAGGGAGCACTAAAGCAGAAATATACATGTGTTCTACATCTTAAACCAAGATTTTCCTCCTGGAATGGCAATAAGGATGCTCTGCAGCCTAAGGTTTTCTAGGCAGCCATAAAGCCTTCATCCCCTTGACTGTGCTGGTAGCCAGGATAACCCCCAATCCATATTCTATGCCCAGTGCATGCTGCAGGAGGGAAAGATAACAAAGGCTGTGATAGAACTCCATCAGGGAAGTCCTTTTGGGCCCCATTTCCATCAGCTCATAAAAGGAACAGCCTGGACCCACATGCTGGGCTCTGCTAAGGCTGCTCCAGGCTGCAGCTCTTCATTTGCAAGAGAAATGACCCATTCGCTTCCCTCTGACCTCTGCAGACACTTCAGACTGCTGACCTCATCTGCCCGTGGCTCCCACCACTGCTGGGCATCCTCAAACAGGTGCTCCTGGACTAAACCCTCTGCCTTCCCAGGCAAGCCCAACTAACACAGCTCCAAGAATCCCAAATCAGGGCTCCCAGGAGGCTGCTGGTGCATGGGTTGGGAACGTTCAGCCCTCAACACATTTATTTCCTGTACAGAAAAGCAGAGGCTGAATGAAAAGGAGGTAAAGACGAGAGTGTAAGTTTAGCTTTGTCAGCTGAAGTCAGAAAACACACTTGCCTGTGTGTGAGTGTGCACTTGACAACACAGATCTCTTTGCTGAAACCACTGACAGCTACACCTCCTGTTAGTGTGCAGGTGTTCAAGAAGGTCCTGCAGCCCCTGTAGACAACCTTTTGGCTGGTGACTGGCCATTCTCATCTCTGCAGTAGATTTCCAGACTCAGTTTTGTGTCCAGGGATGAAAGGTGATAATGCTACTTCAGCAGGGGAATCCCCCTGCTTGCATTGCATCCCAGGAAAAAGACACATCTCTCCAGACACGCTCATCACCCACCTCTACCCTGGCACTTGCAGCCTTATTACCAAGAGTATCACAACCCAAAGACTTCTGCTCTTAAGAGCCCCATTCTAAAGAGAAGATTACCCTGTTCCACCGCTAAGGACACAAAGGTGTTCAGTGGCTGAACTGGGAATTCAGTGCTGGTTTTAAGTCCAACTTCAGAGTCCTACTCACTGGACTAATCTCTAGACAACACTATTTTTCTGCTTGGCAGAGAGGTGGGAGCCTTCAGGTCTGGAAGAGTACTGAGGTCCTCAGGTGGAATCACAGATATAAGTATCACTAACTAATATCCTTTTCAATAAAAGTGGCATAAAACCAAAGGAAGCTAGGTCAGTTCTTCTGCTGGTCTCCAAAGAATACCCAATTATCAGAGTGAACATAACCATCTTTAATAAGTAAGCTGTTTTGGAAGCTGAACTGTTTGTTCCAAGTGCCACACAGACACCAGCTCTTGCTACTGGCAGAAGAGGCCTGTGAATCAGAGCCTGAAGTCTGATGCAAGAGAAGTTTGGGCGTCTCAAGCTGCTTTCCCCAGCAGAGAACAACCCTATTAGTTTGAGAAAGTCCCCTGCCTGCTTTCTCTCTGAGTAATTAAGAGTGAAATCCTCCTCTCAGTGACCCCAATGCTCTCAGCCTAGGCTGATTTACACATGAAAGGAACTCTCTGAGGGACTCTCTCCCTTTCACATTCACAACCAGGCAGGACCTATAAATAAAACCTTTCTGAAAACAGGAGCTTTCAAAAAGATCTGTGTATGTGCACAAATGTGTATGAGAGAAAGGGCATGGCTGTGTGCACTCGAGGATGTGTGTTTGCATGTGAGGCGTGGGTGAGAAGAATGTGCATTCAGACATCAGCCCCCCTGCAAACAAGTGTCCTCAGAAAAGTATCTGCAGGGATGCAGGAGTGTGCACAGGTATTGGGAGCACTTACAGGAGCCAGAGGGCATGTCCAGGCTGGTTTCCAGCTAGCACAGTTCCAGGGGTTCACCCAAGTCAGCTGAGTCACTCTGGAGTTACACATGGAAAAAAGGAGAGCCGGTGAGAGCACGACTGTGATGCACTTTCCCTCCACAAAGCAGTAAAGTACTTGCAGAACAAACACCAGTGGTTTGCATTGCTTTGGCTATAACGTGGGAGGTAACAGGGAATCAGGTCTCAGGGCATGTGTTCCTATGGTTTTGACAGAAGGTGAGATTTTTAAATGGCTGCATCTTCTCAGCTGCCCAGGAGAGAGAGAAAAGTGTTGCATTTTCCAGGGCTGTCATTGTTCAAAAGTAATTTTTAGTTTTCTGTAACACAAAACTCCTCACAGTTTGAAAGATAAACACTGAGACTGACACCATGAAAATGAAGGTCTGAAAATCAAAAGGACTGTGACTGCTTTTACATCAGTAGTTATAAACACAAAAATGCCTAGATATGGATCTCTACTGTCCCTCCCCCACTGTCCTCTTCATCCATCCATGTGGCTGCACAGGATATCTCCCCTTCCATGAGGCCTAAGGAGGACCCTACACAACTTCCAGGAAGCTGGCAGTTAGTGTGACCCTGCCCTAATAAAAAACAGGTGAAACGGAGCCAACGGGACAGACCACAGGGCTTCACAAAGCAGGTTCTGCTCTGTGGGTCTTTGTCCCTGTAAGAGGCAGTTTTTTAAGACCTGGCTACAACGTGATAATTTGAGAACTGCAAACTATTCCACTCCACTCCTTCTGACCAGCTGAATCATTTGCTTTACTGAAACTGTGCCCATGCCCTGTGCTAACACCAGCAGTCGGGATGTACATGTGGTAGAACCACTGGAGCTGCTCCACTACTTGGTGGGAGACTCCAGGGGGTGAGAGAGGGGCAGGAGAGGTGCTGCACCCTGCACCCTTCTGACTTCATCCCTGATAATCGCAGCTCTCGGGTCTCTCCCCTCCCCAATTCTTATGCAAACATTTAGAAAAATCAGGCAGAAAAAAAAGGCACAAAGCAGGAGACATAAGGAGTGCAAAGCCTCACAGGAGCGCACAAAGCACAAAATGTCTCTTCTGCCCGTTCAAAAGACTCTTCCCCGCTCCTTGCACTAGGCAGGAGTGTGTGAGCAGGGATGCAGAGCTCCCCTCCCACTGAGATCGCAGCTAAAGCCCTCCCCCAGTTCCCAGGGTCTTCAAATAGAGATTTGCATAGTAGTTCCAGATCATTCCCGAGAGAAGGGACAATGGCTCTCTCAACGCCCTCTTTCCCCCCTCCCTCCCTCCCAAAGCTGATAAAGCCCTGGTGAAAAGGGGAACAAAGGATTTACAGATGTCAGAATATTGATTTCTGCCGTTCCACGACTACAGGGAGAAGATGAAGGAAACTTTTGCCCGCAGAAACTCTGTGAAGTTTGAGACACAGGCGCTATCTCTGCAGCACTTCTGTCTATCTCAGCGTTTGTTAAGACAGTATCTGATGGAGGGAACGTTTCTGTTCGAGAGGGATGAGCCTGAAAACTTGGAAACGCAGAGGCATAAGATTACAGTCTCCAATCCCAGAGAGCGCATTTGTTGTTCCCAGACCTGCTGAACGGAGAAGCGCTTCCAGTGAAAGCAGTTTGCCACCAGGCGGGCCGGGCCGGCATTGCTCCGAGCGCTTGGGATCCATCCCATCTCATCGGCGGCTCACGCTGTTATCCGTGCCCTCCTCTCTGCTATCCACCGCTTCGGCTGGGAAAAAAAAAAAAAAAAAAAAAGAAAAAGGAAGGTGAAAAACGAGTCTTTGGAAAGTGGCCTTTGATTCTGAATCGTAGTGGAACCTCCCTCTCTCAAAACTCAGTACAGGGCCATTACCTGAAAGCTAAAGCCTCCTACTTCCACAAGCATTTCTGTGCCCAGTCCATACAAACTCGAACTTGCTTTTGTGCCACAAACATTCTTTTTCGGTGTAGTGAGTCAACTTGACCTCTACTGAACTCCACCTCTACCAGCTCACTGCAATCATTCAAATTTTGCTAAAATGAACAGTGACAGGACCCAAACTGCCACATGTCACTGCTGCACATCCAGCAGGAGACAGATACTGGGCAGCCAAGTCAGGTTAGGGCAGTTCTGGCCTGACCTCCACCTGCCCCACCACCACACTGAAATTTCTTCCTCTAAGTGTCTGGCTACCAGCACTTTATAGACATATATATATATTTATTTTCCTTCTCAGGGCTAATTCTGTAGCATTTATGCACTCAAAGGGCTCCCAGGATGCTGGATTTTTTGGAAAAATGTACGTGTTGAAACTTGCTCAAAATACTGGATTTAGACCCAGATTTTTAAAGATAGTAAGCAAGTGTCTAAATCAAGCTCAAGGCCCTCAGATAAGGCAGTTTTGGGAAAACACCCCCTTTCTGTGAGGCAGCAGGGCACAGCAGTGAGTACAAGAGAGGGTTCCCATGCCATGGGTCAATAATCCAGACAGAGCTGCAGAGCCAGCGCTGACTTTTCACTCCTTTTCCCCACACCTTTGTAAAAACACGCTGTCAGGAGGACTGCAATCATCACAGTGATAACAACCATCACATATTGCACTGTTAAACTTACTTCACATAACCACGTCAAAACATTGTTCACAATACTCTTAAAATATCTAGGTTTCCTCAAATACCTGCCTGTCTTCCCTCAGCTGGAAGAAATTATTCACATGGAATCTTTTGTGTCTCCCAGCAGCCACTCCTAATTTACTCTACATTTGAATGAGATGTGAATCAGAGCCACTGGAGTCCTGACACACCTCATACAGAGATTAATCGCAGCTGTTGGGATGATAAAGACTAAGATACACCCATTTGAAACCAATGTCACTCAGGCTGTAATGAAACTGCCACCACACTCAGGTTCAGGGCAGACCAAACCCCATTTTCAATCGCCTCTTGCAGCTCTGTGGGTAGAAGTGCCCACAAGGGGCATCTGGAGCAGCTGTGCTAAGAGAACTTTTCCTCATCCCAGACAGAAGTTTGCTTGTTTTGCTGATCCTTTGTTTTCTCTCATTTGTAAACATTAGTGTCTGTTGCTTACTTAAAAGTTTTTTGCTACACACAAAAGCAGTTTTGTTTACGTAGCTCCTGCTACAAGTTTGCTTTAGGATAGAGAACTTAATCTTGGTTTCATCACTGAAAAATTGTACAAAATAATTCTCAGATATTCTGTTCCCTCCAAAAAACCACATGCAAATTCCTTTTAAATTAAAAGTCTGATATTAGACATCTCATAAACCTGAATCCAAAGGATGAAGGTGGGGAAAGGCAAAATCTACCTCCAGTGTGGATTTAGCAAAGCAGGTGTGCATGCACATGGTGAGTTGCAGTGGTTTGAGGGCTGTCCTGTACAAAATACATCCTATCAGTGAAGACAGAAGAGCAGTTCTGTAGGTACACACGGTGCCACGTGGGAATAATTTCTCCTTTCAGTATGAAAGCAAAACTGTTCTTGAAATTACTTATTAAATAAAATAATATGAAAGCAAATTATTGGAAGAGGTAATAGTAATTTTTTTAAAAAAAGATAATAACAAAGAAACCAAAGCACTTTTAGCAGTTTAAACTGCCAAGATACAGCAAACAACTGAGCAGTAGTTGTATACCAAGCTGTGTTTCATAACAGCCTTCCAACATCCTGGCCATCTTACCATTCCTATATGCTACACAGTAAATTGGACACAAGCCCTGCTCCAAGTGATAAGGTCTGGTCTGAGAAGTCCCTTCCCCAAAGCCCTGTTTCTCTTCTTTCCCACTGTTAAAATATTTACACTCGCTATGGGAATCCTCTCATTTTACTGCGGGGTTTTAAGTGCTGAAAACATTCTCTCCGTTTACATGGCTTCTGCCAAAGGTCACCCAGCCGGCCACCAAGCTCCAATGAAGAACTAAAACAGGATCTAGACATTTGCAAATTAATTACGATGTTTTTTTCCCTTGAAGTCTTGTGTTTATTCAAGTGATGTTATTATTTCTGTGGAATCATTCCAGGAATCCAAATAAACAAAGACACATTAGTGGTAACAGAACTGCCCCGTTCCAGGGGCCCTTTGATCCCCTCACGCCTGGGACATCCCTACAGCGCCAGAACTTTTCACACTCTAAACTATTTATTGCTCTCTACAATTACCTGGGGGTGTCGGTCCCTTCTCCCAGGAAACGCAAGACAAGAGGACACAGTCTCAAGGTGTTCCACGGGAGGTTTACGTTGGACACTAGGGAGAATTTCTTCACAGAAAGGATGATTAGACATTGGAACGGGCTGCACAAGGAGGCGGTGGGGCCACCGTCCCTGAAGTGTTAAGACTGGGCGCGGCACTGCTCTGGCTGACACGGTGGTGTTGGGTCGCAGGTTGGACTCGATGACCCCAGAGATCATTTCCAACCTAAACAATTCTGTCACTCTGTGTTTCTGTGTCCGAACGACGCTGCGACTCCGCCACCTTTCCCCCTTACCGGCCCCCCCCCCGCCCCCGCCCTCAGCACCAAAATGGCGCCGGCCCCGCCCTCAGGACAGCCCGCCCTCGCTGACATGCCCGACTCAAGGTCGGCGGGGCCGGTCCTCGGCTCCGTTCCGGTTCCGGTGCCGGGGAGCGGTCGCGGAGGACATGGCGGCGCTGGCGAGGGTGTCCCGGGGGCTGCTCGGCGCCGCCGGCCCGCGCTCCCCGCCCGCGCGGGGCATGGCGGCCGCGGCACACGAGGGCGGCGGAGGTAACGGGGGCCGTGCGGGGCGAGGGCGGGGCCGGGGCCGCGCTGCCCTTGAACGGGCGCTGCCCTTCGCGGGAGCGGGGCGGGGCCGGCGCTCGGTGTGGGCCCCGCGGAGCCAGGGCAGCCTCGGCAGTGTTCGTGAGCGCCTCGTTAGCGCGTTAATTGCGTTTGAGGCGCTCTGGGGTCGCTGACGCTGATGGCAGCGGTGGTTGTTCTCCCGCCCAGCTAAGCTCTGGAGGATGTTGACCTTCGTGGTGGCGCTGCCCGGCGTGGGCGTGTGTATGTTGAACTGTTACCTGAAGTCGCAGCAACACCACGAGAGGCCCGAGTTCGTGCCCTACGCCCATCTCCGGATCAGGACCAAGGTACCTCTGCGCTGTTTGAAAGCCCTCTTTTCCTCGCGGCTGCTGTGTCTGAGCTCACTGCAGCACCTCTTGCTTTCCCATCTGCTCAGTGAGGTGCCGTGCATACACAGCCGCGATCTCACCCCAGGGCTTTGTTTCTGAGGCAGTAAGAGAGTTTCTCACAGCTCTTCCCACCCCCGAGTGATCCTCCTAAAAATGTCCTGCTGAAAAACGTTTCAGTCCTAAAGCTGCTGTAGTTAAACTAATACACAGCTAAAAGCTAACAGAGGACATCCCAGATTCTCAAAACTGGAGTCCTCATATTTTCCCAGAGGAGACAGTGCAGGAGCAAAAGGGTTTGACTACCTGAGCGTTAATACCTGTTTTTGTGTCTGATAACACAACAGTAGATGTTTAAGCAAGAGCAAAGATCTTGCTCTTCAGAGACCGTGGCTCCCAGCTAAAGGAGACAGTTTTTCAACCGTTGCTTCCTACAGCCTGGGAGCAGATGCCAGCTTGCTTAATTCTCCAGCCTGTCAAGCTGTGTGATCACAGAATCACATAGGTTGGAAAAGACTTCGAAGATCATCAAGTCCAACCTGTGACCCAACACCACCTTGTCAGCTAGACCATGGCACTGAGTACTGTGTCTAGTCTATCCTTAAACACCTCTAGGGATGGTGACTCCACCTCCCTGGGCAGTCTATCCCAATGTTTAACAACCCTTTCCATGAAGAAATTTCTCCTGATGTCCACTCTGAACCTCCCCTGGCACAGCTTGAGGCTGTGTCCCCTCATCCTGATGTTTGAGTCTGGACTGCTGCTTATTTCTGATGCTGATTGTTCGGGAGCTGCCACTGGCTTATTTCTCTCTCTTCTTTCAACAGCCTTTCCCCTGGGGTGATGGGAACCATACCCTGTTTCACAACCCCCATGTTAACGCTCTCCCAACCGGTTATGAAGATTAAAGGTCCTGACTACAGCCAGAACTTTGGCTCTCCCCATCTTGAAGCAGCATGTTGAGTGGGAACCATCGTTTCTGGGGTCATAATTTCAGAAACTCTGCATTTGAGATGAAGCTGAGTGGTTTTAGTGGCTTCTGTGTGTACTTGTGATGAGGTCCTTTAAATAAACAACTCTGAACGTGAATTTAGGATTTGACTGGTTTTTTTAAATCTGAATCCTTAGAAGTTCTTTAGTGTTTGCTTAAAACATGGAGGCTTCCCCCAGGACACAGTGCAGGAGTAAAGGGGTTTGACTACCTGAATGTTAATACCTGTTCTGTGTCTGATACACAACAGGAACTCACTTGGCATAGGACATGACTCAGCTTCATGTTCTTCATGTCTTTTTTAACTGGTAAACTCACAGCCAGAAGAACAGGTATGCAGATTAAAATTCAATATATACTGAAGCACATTCTCCATAACCAGCTATTGCAATATTTATTCACAGTCATGAAGGTGATTTTTCTCTTGGTCCCTTCTGGCAGAGGGAGTGGCAGCAAAGATGTTGAGCTAAGCTCTGTGTGCCTTCACAGCATTCCCCCTCAGATCTCAAATTTTCAGGTGTATCAGTACATATCTTGCTCACAGCTCTGCTTCCCATACAGCTGCAGTCTGATTGTTTAAAGTCACTCACTTAGGTGTTGCAAAAGAAAACACAGTTTTGGCCCCACTGCACATACTTGTATAATGTGTATTGTGTCATGGAAAAGCTGCTTAACCTACAGGGGATTAATGACCTTCCATAGCCAACAGCCTGAGTCTGTGCCAGCACATTCTTTTTCAAGTTTCTCCTTGCTGCAAGTCGACTGTTTTCCAATTCTTTCTTTAACTTCTCTGTTTTTTACATGGTACAAAACTGAGCTCTTGTCTCAGTTGTCCTTCCCAAAAGGAAGAATGCAGCAGCTGCCTTGGCATCTTGCTGTTGAAAGGAGTGACGGATGGCAAGAGAGAAGCTCCAAGTGGGTGCTGCAGGACACCCTTCCCCATGTTTCAATGCAATTTATTTCATCTGCTTACTAGTAAAATGACTGCTGAGACAGTTTTTCTGGGTTAAAAGCACAGAACAAGGCACTGATGGGCGCAGTTGTTTTAAAGCTGACAAAAATCAGCTACATTTAGCCCTACATGAAAGATCACAGAAAAGCAAACTGGTTGTATGTGTTATTCCTGTTCTTCTGCACAAGGCCCAGATAACTCAGTGTCTGGGCCAGCTTTAAAGTTTGAGAACTGCACCTTTTTTAGTTTTTTTTAAAGTAAAACCTCTGAATAATCCATCAGATAGTGATTAAAAGCAAAGGATAATTAGGAAGTTGACTTCTCTTTTGTCCCCAGGCCATAATATTCTTTACTGTTTCACCTGTGTTGGTGTAAGGAGAGAGGCCAGCTTTTCCCCATCCCTGTGTGAGGATCATGCCACGGGAATGTGTAATGCTAAAGGAGAGAGAATTTGAGTTCATGGTTGGGTCACTACCTCAGAAAAGGCTCAGTAAGTCACCTCTCCTTAAAAGTCTCCTCCTCAGCTTCTGAGCAGGCCACCTCCATCCCTTCTAGAGGCCACAGTCAGATTCTACTGAACAGTTCTGAACTTCAACAAAATATAACCTGATTATATTTATTTTAGCCAAGCTGTTGAAGGCCCAGTAGTGCTTTCAGACCATCCCTGTTGCTGACAGAAAATAATGCTTTAGCCCCTCAACGTTCAGGATGACATGAAACAAACTTCTTCCACCAAAATTCAGCAGCATAGAGAGGAGACAAAGTAAATCAACCCCCTTCACATTTTTAAACGCTTTCAAGTGTTATATAAATAAGCAAAAGAAACCAGTCACAAAGAAATTATCTCAGCCCGCTCCAATCAGCATTCCCCCATTACAGAGTACATTCAACAGGAAGTTAGGTCACATGGATTTTTAAGCTGTTAGGTGCTGAACCACCACCAAAATTCACTGGAAAAGAGGCAGCAGTTGCCACGTGATCCAATCTTTTTGGTTTTTGATTTTAGCTGTTTGTTTTCGCAAGCAGAGAAGATTCCTCGCTTCTTAGAAAGCAGTTAATAAAGATCTAAAGGTCTTATCCAGGTGGCACCTGGTGGTACACCTGGTGCTAGTGCTTAGTCCAAAGGTTCATATCAGTGACTCCACCCACACAGCCAAGGTCAAGAGGAGTTTTCAGTTTTTCCTTTGCTCGGGCCCATGAACTCCAGGCCCTCGATGGGTATGTCCTTTTCCTTTATTGCTTTCTGAAAACGAAGAAAAACAAAACCAAAAAAAATTAAAATTGACATGTCTTTACAGTGCTACATGATGTAATCTTTGGTGCAAAACACAGAATCAATGAGGCTGGAAAAGACTTCTGAGATCATCGAGGCCAACCTGTGACCCAATACCACCGTGTCAAGCAGATTGAGTGTGTCCAGTCTCTCCTTAAACACCTCCAGGGATGGTGACTTCACCATCTCCCTGTGCAGCCCATTCCAATGTCTAATCACCCTTTCTGTGAAGAAATTTGAGCTGATGGCTAACCTAATCCTTCCCTAGCACAGTTTAAGACTACGTCCTCTCATCCTATCGCTGCCTGCCTGGGAGAAGAGAGATGGTCTAGAAAAAGTGATCTAAAAAAAAACCCCAATAATGAGGCTGGTTTGGATAAAGCTGCAGTGCTGAGAGTTAGTCAAGTATGCACCGAGAATTCACTGACAGTATGGATCCTATCACGGAAACAAGCCGCAGCCTTTACACCAGCGGGATGAAGATGTTACATCAACAACAAAAACACAGCGAGAGAACATCTGCGAAACACTCCGCGCCAAGACCGACAGGAACAGGGCGAGGCTGAGGCTGCTCCGGGGGCCGCGGCGGGAGCTCGAGGCGGGGAGCTCGGGGGCAGCACGGCGGGGCCGGACCCACCTGCACGCAGAGCTGGTACCGCTTGAAGAGCTGCCCGCAGGGGTCGCCGGCGCTGTCGCCCTTGAGGAACTTCTCCGCGAACCAGCGGTTGAAGCACTGGTCGTACTCGCGCTTGAGCTCCGTGCACGCCTCGCCCACGCTGTTCATCGCGGCGGCCCCGCCGGGCCGCGTCCGGGCGCGCCCTCCTCGTGACGCACATCCGGCGCGCGGCGGAGTGACGTCGCGCACGGGATGTGACGTCACGGCCCCGGAAAAAGGGAACGCGGGAGATGCGGGCGCTGGCGCTGGCGCGGTGGGTCCGCGCCTGGAGGGTCCCCGCCCGGGGACACAGCGGGCACGGCGGGCACGGCGCGCACCGGCCCCCGCCGCAGGTACCGCAACCCCTCTCGAGGCGGGAGGGACGAACACTGAGTGAACTTCACTGAGTTCCCCGTAAAAGCTGGAAAAGCCCTTTCAGACCCAACCGTCGCCCTACAGACAGCGGCCGGGACACGTGTCCCGGCCGCTGTCTGTAGGGCGACGGTTGGGTCTGATGGTGTCAAAGGGCTTTTCCAGCCTTAACGGTTCTGCGGTTCTTTGTACACTCCGGTTTTGCCGCGGAACGAGTTTTTAGTTAAATAAAAACCAAAAACCACACTATTAAACTTGCTCAGTTTTCCCTTTTTTTTTGTCCGGGTTTGACAGCAAAAAGTGTCGGTGGAAGTGCTGGACCACCTGGAGCACCTGGCCCTGGTGGATTTCCGTGACTCGGAGGGCGTGGAGCGGCTGCAGAAGGCGATCGAGTTTGCTGACCAGCTTCATGAAGTGAACACTGACGGCGTGGAACCCATGGATTCAGTCCTGGAGGACAGGTGATGGACCACAGCAGCCTCCTTTTATCTATTAATCTGTCAAACTGTTCACTTTTCTGACCTTTTATCCCTGGGAATCACCCTTTGCTTACAGAAATGGCCCCTTTGGTTACAGAAATGTCTTATCAGGGTTGTGTGTGGGAGAAAGATGCCACTGGCCCACGTGATCCTTATGTGTGACCACAGCAAAGGTGAACTTCAATTCCTCAGTCTGTCTTGTCATGATTGGTCTGCACACGCTGCTCCTCAGACATCTGTCAGTGGCATTCTTGGGTGCTTCAAAGTGTTCCAGTACTTGTCTCAGTGCTTACTCAGGACCAAAACCAGGTTTAGTGATAAGCTACCCTTCCTACTTCATAAAATAGCCTAAACACAACTAGTAATCTGTGTTCTTCAGGTGTCTGTACCTCAGAGAAGACGATGTGACAGAAGGCAACTGCACCAAAGAGCTGCTGCAAAATGCCAGAGAGAAAGTAGAGGAGTATTTTGTAGCCCCACCAGGTATTGACTTGTTTGCAAAAAGCTCTTAGTCTTTCTTGAATTAACCTGAGGAATATAACCTGCCATAGCTGCACTTACTTTCAGGAATCCTAGCTAATAATAGGGAAGTACTAAAATAAATGTAGCCATCTGTGTAAAACTGTGCAATTTGTTGGTCCTAAAGCAGTACCGAGGCTGATCTGACTGAAGTTACTGAACATGTCGAGCAATTCTCTACAGGAAGTCAGTCAGGATTTACTTTCCTGACTTGCTCAGGGAATTTAAGCTGCCTGAACATACTTAGAATAAACCAGAGAAGCACGTTAGTGCCAAGTTGTATAACCCAGAAGGTAACCCACTGCTGGTCTCATAAAACTTCCTTTTTGTTTTCCCTCAGGTAACATCCCTTTACCAAAGCTGGAGGAACGAGACACTTTTCTGCAGGGCTCTTAGTGACAGCCCAGAGCCCAAACACCCTTTCACTATTTTATCTGGGAAAATGAAGTTTTGTGCAGTCACAACTGAAATACCCTGACCTGTGTTTTGGTCAAAAGAAGAGCACTTGCAAGACAACTTACAGAAGAGAGAAGGTGTAAAAGTTTAGTAATGCTACTGAAATACTCAATGTCTGTGAAGCTGGAAGGCAGATGACCTTAGTGCTTTTGTTTAGCAAAATTAATTTCATGTTATTCTTGAAGATACCGAATGGCTTAAAGGCTTTAAAGAGAACATTCACAGGTAATGATTAAAAACACCATTTTTCCTCAACAACTTTGTTGGGGAAACGAGAGGTTGGAAGGCTCTATTTTTGTATTTCTCACCTGTAGCTCAACTCTGGCTCTGACCTGTCAGAAGTAACAGAGTCTGGTGTGGAGGAGGAGTCTGTGACATTGCTGAGTATCTCTGGGACATATGGAACTCAGGGTTTCATTATTGAAGAAAAGGACTTTGAGAAGACTAATCAAATATTTTGCCTGTACTGAATTATTTCCATTTTATCTCTGTTCTCCATGTCTATCTGGGTTACCTTCTGTTTCCCAGTCTGTATTTCTATCCTCATAAATTAAATAACTGGAATTGTACATAATTTGAGAAAAACACAAAAATATGTGTTCTAAAATAAAAGGTGCTTGCAAAGAAGTAGCACAGCTCCAAGAACAAAATGAGCCCCCCTGACTCTGACTGGAGAGGCCAGGAGACCATCACAGGAGGAGGTGCTGTGTAACATAACATTGTCACTGTCTCATCCTGGCAGAGGATTCTGAGGCTTCCTCATGGAATCTCCATCACTTAGAAGCAAGATAAGCCAAGGCTCACTGAGAGAAACCAGAGACCTGCTGAAAGAAAAATACTGCAGCAAACTAGAACCAGATAGTCCACACCACTCACTTTCAGGCCATAAGGGGCACAGTAAAAGGTTGAAAAACAAATGTGTTTTCCTGGGTGGTGCCCTGTCCACATACATATGGATTTAATAATCCATAATTATTTATTCCAGTTGTAACTCCATGCATTAAAAGAGATTGTATGGAATTGTCTTCAGAAGTGCTGGAAAAGGCTGAAAAATCACCAGTTCTGAGTCTGCTCTTGTGGCTCTTGAGAGCCCAACAGGAGAAGGAAAGTGGCTCCTCCATGGCTGTGCTGGCACACGTTTCCCCTGGGGGCAGAAACTCACCTTGTGACATCGTAAGTTGATGTCATCCAGTTTACACAGTGCATGTTCTGTATCTTTTTGCAGAGAAAAGCCATTACTCCCATCTCGCTGTAACCAGATTGCTGCTATGTGTCCCTTCAGCTCCTGCCAGCTGTGACAGGGGATGTCCTGAGCAGGGACTTAGAACTGTTTCTGCTGTGAACTGCATCTTCCACATCCCTGCAAACAGCAGACAATATACATTAGAGATTAATGATACATGTGCCTTGTTTCTTGACATCTCAAAAGTCCACCAAGCATAATACAAGCATCATAATTCAAAAAACACGGAAAAAATACTAAAGCCTTTGAATAATACTGGTACTAGGTTGAGCCATTGGTGGCTTGTTCTTAATACCATGTGGTCAAACTGCTTTGCTCTTTGTTATGTGCCACGTATTTAGTGGAAAACCTTGGCTGAGCTGGCTTTGCTGGTGTAAGAAATCACAGCTTCTGGGTAGGATTCACTTTCACTTGCTGTCCTCAAAGGTTGCATGTCTGGTAAGCTTTGAACTGTTCTTTTTCTGGAACTGATTTTTTCCCCCCAGATTTCACTGTCAGGAAATGAGAGCAAACACTTGTCCCACTCTTACTTGTCTAGTTACTTCATTATTTGTTTAAGCTTCCATAATATACACACACACATATTTGCATATGCATGAAACATGTAATCACTATGATACCTGAATTCTTTCAAGGGTATTGAAGTAAAGCCTGTATTTAACCCCACTAATCAAATCCTCTGCAAAGCTGTAATGCTGTATTAGTGTTTTAGTCTTGGGCTTTTCAAGATTCAGACCCTGCAATTGCTGAAGATTTACAAATATACAAGCTCAGCCTAAAAGTAATTTAGGATGCATATATAAATCATGACAAGGAAAGACTCAATCGTGTTAGCAGGTAATTCCCAGTTTGAGAAATTCCTCCTTGGAATTCCATTTTGGCCTTATCCTTTTGACCATCAGAGAGAATGGGGACAATATTATTTACATAGAAAAAGGGAGAGGAATTTGAGAGTGAACTGCATGGCTGCAGGAGCTTCCAACCCAAAATAGCATCAGGTAACTATTTTAAAAGCAAACCAACAATTTGGATAACATGATCCCACATTCCCAATGCTAAGCTTAAAACTGCCAGTTCAGTGCTGCTCCCACACACTCCGGTGCGAGAACAGACTGCCTGCTGCTTGTTCCCCACAGCCCAAACTGCATTTAAAGTGGAAAACACACATTTCCTTAATGGAGGGGTTTGCTGCAACTTCACCACTAATGAGGGAATTACAGCCCTGACTCAGACACCTGCAACCACCAAAACAGAAATGCTGGCAGGGGCTGGATGGAGCTGCCTGTGGGGCAGAACATGTCAGTGCCTGAGCCTGCCCTTGGCAGGTCTGACGGGGTAGATGCTGAGCCCCCCAGGATGCTGCTGAGCCCCACTGGGCCCTGGTTGCACCCTGAGGGTGACACAAGGCCCCCATCGTGTGCTGGTTCACCTGCTTTCACTGCAGGGCCCCAACCCACAAGTGGAGCATATGTTTCCTCTGGAGACCACGGAGAGAACTTGACTCAGACCTGCCAAGATTTTTCCACCCCTGTAAATCTGTAGATATAAAACTGGATTAGAAGCCCTCGCATGCGGATTCCAGGTTTACAAAGAAAATGTCAATGTGGAGACTTCTTCAGTTTTACAGAAAGAAGATGGTAGCTGTTTTATTGCTAATAATGATTATTCTATGTTTTGATAGTAACTGGAAGCCCTGGAAAAAAATCCCTATTAATACAGCGGTATGGTGTGCAACAAAGAGCAAAAAAATACCTCTCCTGCAAAGTGCTTACAATCTAACCTCCATCTGCAAGAGGAATCTCATGATATGCCTTATCCAGTTTCCTTCAGCACCTCCTCTACCCCAGCTATCATCTCCTGCGTGCATTTGTTCTGCCTTCCCCTGCAGCTCTGCCCTGGGGGAAACGATACTTTTATATTCTTGATTAACAAGTAGGGCTCTAAAGTCTCTCTTTAAAGTCCTGTATCTTGGGCTTTAATGTTCCCCATTAACGACGTGTATCTCACCCACACTGACATTTCCTGCAGTCGTCATCACATCTGTTTCCTCAGCCAACCATTTCTTAATAAATGCACAGAAATTTGCCTGCAGCTACCAAACACAAGCGCCTCCTCAGAGATTCATGGGTGTTTCTGAAGTTTAGTGTAAGCACTGGGAAGACTGTTAAATGGTTCAGTCCTGTCAGCACAAAATTGTCCAGTACTCAAACAACCACTGCTAGTGCTGCAGATACTAAAGACTGTTCTGTAAATTAATTACTGGCTGTGGCCCCAAGACCATTCAGAGCTTCTTCACGTTGCTAGCACACAAGCAAAGCTGTGAATTGCATCTCTCCTATTTGGAATGCTAAAACCTGGGAGCCAGAAGTTATTCCTGAGATACTCTAGTGTGACAAAAGTGTTACATTATCCAGTTTCGATATTTTTGGGGGTGGTATATTTTTTCTGAGGTTGTCTCAGAGCTTGCAAAAGCAAAGGGTTGCTTGCAGTTATGCTGCTTTTGCTGTGAACGACACTGAGCAGGCAACTATACTGTACTAATATGAAAAAATATTTGCATTTCAGGTGAGGTGGATGACTGCTCTTGAGGGTACAAAGAAATGGGAGTCCTACCAACCAGTATTTGAAAACCTCTTCTAAGTCATCCTGTGCTGTTTGCTATGGACGTGGTTCCTGTTATTAACAGATCACCAGCTCTGGAAGACTCAACAGCGATGTTTTATCTGCTGACAAGAGCATAAGCAGAAAGTGCCCCAGGGAGAGTGAAACTAACTAAACAGAGCACTCAGGATCTCCCAAAACATCTTGCTTCATTTAAACAAACAAACAAAAAAACCCCCCAAAACCAACCAAGCAAAACAAAACCCAAACCAAACACAAACAAAATGTGGCAAGAGTGGCAAGAAACGGTGAGCTCTGCAAAAGATGCCATAAAAGAGACTTGAGAAGTCTGATAGGTTCAGTTCACTTCATGAACAAAGTTTGGAGCTGACTTGATCATACTCAGTAAACATGGGTAAGAGATTTCTCTGAGGTCATTTACTCTGAATTGAAAACAGCTGAAAACAGACACATGATCAGGACATGGTCAGAACAGGACAGATGATCAAGTGCCATTTACAAGCTATGGAACTCCTTCCTTTGACAGGGGTGGGCTTTGCTCTCAGTAAAGGGCATATTACTGAAAAAACTATCCCAGATAATATCCCAATATTATTTCAGTAATATCCCATATTACTAAAAGACCTATTCCCAATAAGAGCTTGTTTCAAAAGAGAAAGAAAGTCTGTTGCAGAGATTACTGGGTTAAACTCACTGTCTCGGTGATCCAGGTTGGGGCAAGTAATAAAATGGCTTTTGGGGTGCACATATCAACCATGGAAAGGTGCTTTACAGAAGCTGGTGGACACAGTACAATTCCTTGGAGGCTGAGGGTACTTCAAGCAACAAGTTTTTTGCAGAGAATCACCAGACGACGCCAGACAGAATCACAGAAAAAATGAGGTTGGAAAAGACCTCTGGGATCATCGAGGCCAACCTGTGACCCAACAGCACCGTGTCAACTAGACCAGGGCGCTCAGTGCCGCGTCCAATCTTTCCTTGAACACCTCCAGGGACGGCGACTCCACCACCTCCCTGTGCAGCCCGTTCCAGTGTTCGATCACCCTTTCTGTGGAGAAACGTCCAACCTCAGCGTGCCCTGGCGCAGCAGACGGGTAGCACGGGAGGCAGGACCAAATCCACAGGCCCATCCCAGCGGGTGCCGGCAGTGTGGGGGTGCTCCTGCTCCCCCCTCACCCCTGCGGTCGCCATGGCAACGGACGCGGCGCGGGGCATCCCGGGCCGCAAGACAACGCCGGGGTAAAGCCCTGCCGGGCGCCGCGCCGCGACCAATGGACGCTCGGGGGCCGGCGGCGGTGGCCAATGGGCGCTCGGGGGCCGGCGGCGCTGACCAACGGCTGGCCAATGGGCGCGGAGGGGGCGGGGCCGGGGCGCTTCGAGGCGCGCACGGCTCAGAGCGCAGCGCCGTTCGCTCCGCACCGCGCCGGCCCCGCAGCGCCCAACGGTGAGCGACGGGTGCGGGGTCCCCGGGGACACTCGGCCACCCCGGTACACCGGCGGCTCCCCTGGCACAGGCGCTTCCCCATTCGCCGCCTCCCTTTCCGCGGACCCCTGGCTCTGCCCGCGGGACCCTTCCCTTGCAGCCGCGCGGGGCTCCGAGCCCTTGGCAGCGGGGCCGGGCTTGGGTCGCCTCCGTCGGCGGGGAGAGGCCGTCGGGGCCGGGCGATGGAGCGGCTGCGCTGGGCTGGGCTGGGGAGGGCCAGGGGGGCGGCGAGGCTTGTGTGGGTCCGGCTGGAGAGCGGGTGCTGAACGGGACCCGGCATTTCAGCCGCCGCTGCTCGGGCTGTGCCCGGGGCTGTGCCCGTGCCCGACACACCCGGCAAAGCGCTGCCCGGCCCCGGGAGCTCGCTGGGAGTGACGGTACAGGTGACTCTGGCAGGTGCTCCTGCAAGTTTGAATTCTCTCCTTCTTCTCCCAAAGCAGGCAATCATGAGCGATCGGAAGGCAGTGATCAAAAATGCGGACATGTCAGAGGAGATGCAGCAGGACTCGGTGGAATGTGCTACTCAGGCCTTGGAGAAATACAACATCGAGAAGGACATCGCTGCTCACATAAAGAAGGTAAATGTTGGCTTGTAACGTGCTCATGAAAAATCAATCAGGGAGAATGCTGCTGGGCAAGTAGCTCTAGAGAAACAAGTTCTAGACACACTAGATAATCAAGTTGGACTTTCTCTCTCTATGTTCCTTTCTCCACTCTTTATGTGGACCTTTTTAGGTCCTTCTGCTTTACTATGGTAGTGCCTTATGCCTTTTCTGCCACTGTCCCATTGTCCAGGTGGGCAGATTGGTAGCTGTCCCTGTGACTGATGAGCTGGTACAAAACACAGGCTCTATATGGAGCCTGTTTGAGGAGGGGTGGTTTGCCAATCGCGTAATAAGTGGTTTTGGTTTTTGCCCTTTCCCCCTACATGTAAGACAAGCTGTTCATACGAGTACCGAACAGATGGTTCATAGCTTACAGTTTGTCACATTTTCTCTCTTGACTCCTACTGGGAGCCTGACTGAGCTGCAAGTATTTGAAGGGTTTGTTTGAGCAGAACAGGAACCTCTTCCATGTTCTCAGAAAAACCTCTTCAGTTGATGGCTGTTAGGTACTGCACTATATAACCACTGACTGCATGAGATTACTCACAGTACACCTGTACACAGGAGTTTATTTCTAAGTGGTAGCAGGCTCCTGATGGCAGAGTGTTGGAAGAATATGGTCTTGTGACCAGATATCAAGGATGTGGCAGAGAATTTCCCAGCAAGTGTCCTTTCAGCATCCTTATTGTAAACAGCTAATGAAATCAAAATACTGGTTTAATCTGAGGTTCAGAACAAGCAGTGAGGCTCTCAGAAGTTATGGTTTGAGATCATGGTGTGACTTTGGGGTAAAAGTTACTTCACCAAACATATGTTTTAAGCTTATTCCTGCTCTGCTTGGAAGCACTTTTTTTTTTGGTATGACTAAGCAGCAGATGAGTTATAAAGTGACAGATGATCCTTGCGCTTAGGAGCATATGCTGCTCCTTAATTGCCTCCTTCCAAAAGTGATACTTGTTAACAAGTGACATATCATTGCAAAAAAAAAAAACCACCCAGAAAACCTGTTAGACAATATTAGTATAATTACCACAAAAATGCTGACTTTCTAGTTCTCTCTTCTGTAGGAATTTGACAAGAAATACAATCCCACGTGGCACTGCATCGTGGGAAGGAACTTTGGCAGCTACGTGACTCATGAGACCAAGCACTTCATCTACTTCTACCTCGGCCAAGTCGCTATTCTTCTTTTCAAGTCTGGTTAGAACCACGGACTGTTACTGAAACTTGCACCTGGGTACAGGATCTGCACAGGATCTCCCACCTTCAGCCTTCCTGGGGAAACAGGCCTTGATCTCCAGGTCTTTTGTTGTATTGTTAATGGTCAGGGATTTTGCTGTAGCAGCTGGTATTTTCATTGTGGCTATATAAAAAAGCAAAAATGTCTTCCTTGTATTTATTTTCTTTCAAAAGATTGCTTCTTTGCTAATAAAACTGTTGGAACAAGTTTATCCTTTAAGAGTTTTCTTTACCCACTGCCCTCTTGCATTACTCTCTTTATTGCAGTGTGAATGAAGGATGAGCATCCCCACCCCTATTCCCACCTAGCCCCAAATCCATAATTTCTTAGGCAACCTTCTTACAGAGGATTGATTTAAGTGGAAAAGAGTTGATGCAGAGCCCTTTTATTTCACAAGCCTTTCATTTGCCTTTGAAAGAAGTAAAGGAGTCATGGGAAAACATCCTTAAACTCCACATGACAGAGATAATAACAGCTTCATAAAAATCCATAGTTACTTCATAAATCCAAGTTCTCATGGGTATATCCTCCTTGAAGCTTAGTACAAAAGGCATCTTATTGGAAGAGTAGTCAGCCTATTTCTGTGTCCAAATCCCACTGGCAACTGATGTTGCTTCACTTGTTGGCACTGCTCAGTTTTGGCCGTGTCCTTTACATTGCACTTGAAGGGAAATGCAAGTGTAAGAAATGCCACAGGAGTCACTCCTTCCACATGTTTCTTGAAGGAAAAAAGGTAGCTGGTGTTCTGGGTCTGGCTGCTGAGCAAGTATCTGCTGCACAAGTTCTTAACACTCTTCTTCAATCCTCATACTGTTAAAATTCCACAGCTTTCACATTCTTCATGAAAATTACACCTCCTGTGTTTTGCTACATAGTAGACTCACAGTTTGAAACCTGAGTGAATGGCGACAATGCCAAAGTTTAAATTCTCATAATCCACTTTGAAAAAACCTGCGTCTTCTATCATTGCCTTCAGCTCCTCCTGAAAAAGAAGTGCCATAATTTTAACAACTCGAAGGCCTGTGAGCCAGTAGCTGCAAGGCTGTGCTGGGATCATGTTTTATGTGTTAGGAGTTCAGGGGAATCCTGTCTCACCTGAGGAGGGAACCGCCGGATGCTCTCCACCAGATACTGGTAAGACTTCCAGTCACCAGCAATGACCTCACCCAGAACAGGGATAACTTGGAAACTGTAGAGATCATAGAGCCTGCACACACAGACAACAAATGCAAATGAATACAAGGAAGTTTAAAAACCAACCCTCTCCAACACAAGCTGGTCTCTGTACCACTATGCTGTGCAGTCTGTGTCTGATTTTAAAAGTGCACAAAGAAGAGGCCTCAAAGTGTCTCCATCTCTTATTGTGGCTGAGCACAAATAAGAGAGCCTTGTGATGTGGCATAAAGTGCCACCATGTTCTTACCTGGAAAGAAGAGGGTTGCTGACATGACTAAATTCAAGGCAGAGAAATCTTCCTCCTGGTTTCAGCACACGATAGGCCTCTTCAAGAGCCTGAGACAAAGCAGATGTGATAAGTTTGTTTCTGTAGAACAGCACCTGCCTATTATCATGGCATGTGATATTATCATGCAACTCAGATGAACTGAGGGAAGTAAAGAGTACCCTGACTGGCAATCTGTAATATTTTATGTGGAGCAGCATCCCAAGACAAGTAAAAAAAACCCAAACCCAAACATACAACAAACACAAAGCGCAAACACTCTCGATGTTACACAAATAGATTTATACGAGGCTTTGTGTCAAAACTTGATGTCGGGTTGCCAATTTTTCTTTTTCCCTACTCCCACTGATGAATGTTTGTTGGCAGAGCTCTTGTAATTACAGACCAAACCCAAAAGGGTGACTCACCTACAAGAAACTGAAAAAGAAAAAAGGGCACGATACATTTTTTTTTTTAAATCGAAAGAAAAGATTTTACTGAGGCACACCCAAAAGATCAAAGAAGGAATGATACTGGGTTTCGGATGAGCAATGTGTAAGAACAGGAAGGAAGGAGAAGGAAGAAGAAAATCTTTGGCTACTTCGAAAATTCCATCCTATATCCAAAACAAAATACCTAAGAAGAATCAAGAAAAAATTTTCTTTACAACTGTATGTTCTTTCATGCAAGAGCACAGCAGAGTCGTATTCCAGCAGCTCTGCAGGTTGCTTGGCTTCAACTGTCCTGTTTCTAAGGAGGGGGACACAGACAGTACACATACATGACAGGAGCTCTGCAAAAGAATTGGCAGCTTGGGTGTTTTGTATCAGGTCTCCAGGGAACTCTGCCACCAGACTCTTGTATCCATGAAGGCAAAGAGCCTGTGCTTTGGAAAGGTGCAGACAAAGTACCAGGAAAATCCATCCACATTAACTTCCAAGGCATATGGTCCAAGGTGGTTACACCTGCCACAGAAGGAGCTTTGCCAAGGTTGTAACACACTGCTCCAAAACACACACAACTAGTCCACCTAGACAGGTGATCTAACCTATCTTTACCCCCACGACAGCTTGTCCTCCTCAAAGGATAGACACTGTTTAGAACAAAGGGCACTACTTATCCTAATTAAGATCATACTTGTTTTTCACAGGAAGCTCTACCACCAGCCAGTGTAAAGACACTGAGCAGAAATGGGCAGAACAGGTCAGCTAACAGCAGTGGGGGCAGCAGCCAGCTGCTTCCCACCCCGCTCTGGAAGCTCTGCTGGCTCAGACAGAGAAACAGAAGAGAACAGGAATTGTTGGACCCACGGAGGGTGGGATGTAGATCTGGTACTTCAGAAGATTTGAGACATGCAGACTGACTGCATTGTGCATGTGTAGATCCAGCCATGCCATAGGTCAGGAGAAGGTGGGGAATGACTGCAGCATCCAGGCCCTTTGCCTTAGGAAGAGATCGTGTGGCTTGTTAAGCTGGAAGGATTGGGTGCAACTGGTATAAATCTATCTTTTTATGGCAAAGGTGGGGCATTTAATTGCATCTCCACAAGTTGCACACCACATGCCACTTCCTTTAAATGTTTCAGGAGTAGACTATGATCTTCCTTTATACAAAGGAGTTCCTCCTTTTCTTCCTCTGCTGAATAAAAACCCCTCAGATGAATGATAAGGACCCCATGTCAGGATACACTACAGCAACTTACCAAATCAATACGAGTCACATTTCGGATTCCAAAGGCAATTGTGTAAACATCAAACATATCATCATCAAAGGGCAACTCTTCAGCATTCCCAAGTACCCAGGACAAGCCTGTAGTGAAAGACAAGTCACAGAACTGAACTCAAGACTGCTCCAGAAAGACTAGAACTTACCTATCCTAGAAAAAAATTGATTCTTTTAAAGGTGATATTTAAAACAAATGTTTCCACTTTGCATTTTTGTTGGAGGAAAGACATCTTGGCCTATACACAGGAACCTTTCAAGGCCCTGTACTATACCACTCGCTGTGTTTCACGACTGAGTAGTTAATTTTGCAGATCAGCCAAAACATTGTTCTGTATATACCTATACATTTAATACGATTCAGTTTCTTTGAACATTATTTGCATATGCTCTAACTCTGGGAAGTTTCATAGGCTCACAATATCCTTTAGTTCTTGCATTTTTTACTTGCTATCTTGATTCCTAAAATACACGTTATAAGATCTTTAGTCATTCTAGGGCTGAGCTCTTTTGCAGCTCAGTAACACCAGATTTGTCAGCACAGATACTAACAGCAGGTTTTGATTGTTTAATTTTGAAGGACAGCTGGGTATCAGACCTCATGGACACTTCCATATTTGTTCTGAAAATTCAAGTATTATTCAAGAGAATCACTGTACACCTGAAGTGTAATCCTGAAGTGGTGATCACCTGATGCATCAAATTCTTGCTATCAGGGACGCTGCTGACACGGTACAATGCATGACTTACCTTCAGAGTAGCCAAGGTGCTGTGCTTTCTGCTTCCCAACTTTTAACATTTCTCTGTTAATGTCACAGACCACCACCTGGGAATCCCCGAGAGAGTCAGATTTGTCTTCCTGGTAATTCTCAAAAATTTCCTGCCATGACAAATTCTGATGGTGCTTGAGCTTCCTCTGGAGCTGCCGTTCTCGTACGGCACGAACATAATTAATGAATCGAAAGGCAATGTCACCTGCAGTCGGTTTAAAACAAAGATTCACATTTGGGAATGTTTTCTGACTCCAGGAAATCGAAACATAAGGCTTTGAACATCAAATTGAGTTAATATTTATTTTGAGTCAAATATATTAATAAAACAACCCCCCACACACTGTATATACACACAGAGTATATATATATATATATATATATAAAAAGGGAATATATTGAAAGCAAAGAGTTAGTGACTTTCTACAAATATAGTTTCCCACAACATATCATGGCAGTACTACAACACTTTCAGACCCCTGGAGCAAGATATTACAAAACACAAAGAAGTTAACTCTTAACCCTTCTCTGGGAAAGTCAAGTAGATGCCTCACTGGTTTTAAAGACAGGAACTGACGGAAGAAAAAAAAAAAAGCTGGGCAACTTAATTCTGAGCACTCAAACAGCTGAAAACCAGCGTGGCATTGTCATGTGGAACTCACTAAAATTATTTACCTGTTCCTCCAGCAACATCAAGAAGAAGTGTTCCTGGGGAAGGGTTCATTTTATGTACCAGGATATCCTTCCACACACGATGAATTCCTAGAGTCATGGAATCATTCATCACATCATATTTCTTGGCCACGCTTTCAAATACTTGGTAAACTGCAAGGAAAGGACATGAGAACGAGATGAGATGCAATTTACTTAAAAACGCTCATGTCGAAGTAACCTGTGTGTTGTATTGCCTCGCTGAGGTCTGTCACCACGTGGAGGTGAAAAAAACAACCTGAAAACTCATCACAAAAAAAAATAATTAAAAAAAAATTGAAAAAATCGAATCCTGCTTTGCCCGTTGCCTGACAAAGGTCTCTTTGGAGACGCAGCCTTCCCGAGCCGAGGGAAGCGCGGAGCAGGTGACATTATTCACAGGAGTATTCATTCACAGGGATACCCTTCACGGAGGCTCCCGGTAACGGGCAGCCCCAAACACACCCCGGCACCCCGGAGACCCATCACCGCTCGGAGCCGGGCCCAGCCCGCCCGCTGCCGCCGCCCTCACTCTTCTCCCTCCTCTCCTCCTCCGTGACGCTCTGGAAGCCGAAGTGCATCTCCGGG